GGCCAGATTAGAGTTTGCCAAACAACATCTAAAAAAGCCTTCACAGTTCTGGAACAAGATCCTATGGACAGATGAGACCAAGATCAACTTGTACCAGAGTGATGGGAAGAGAAGAGTATGGAGAAGGAAAGGGACTGTTTATGATCCTAAGCATACCACCTCATCAGTGAAGCATGGTAGTGGTAGGCTCATGGCATGGGCATGTATGGCTGCCAATGGAACTGGTTCTCTTGTATTTATTGATGATGTGACTGCTGACAAAAGCAACAGGATGAATTATGAAGTGTTTCGGGCAATGTTATCTGCTCACATTCAGCCAAATGCTGCAGAACTCATTGGACGGCGCTTCACAGTGCAGATGGACAGTGACCCAAAGCATATTGCAAAAGCAACTGAAGAGTTTTTGAAGGGACAGAAGTGGAATGTTATGCAATGGCCAAGTCAGTCACCTGACCTGAATCCCATTGAACATGCATTTCACTTGCTGAAGACAAAACTGAAGGGAAAATGCCCCAAGAACAAGCAGGAACTGAAGACAGTTGCAGTAGAGGCCTGGCAGAGTATCACCAGGGATGAAACCCAGCGTCTGGTGATGTCTATGCGTTCCAGACTTCAGGCTGTGATTGACTGCAAAGGATTTGCAACCAAGTTTTAAGAAGGGAAAGTTTGATTTATGGTTATTATTCTGTCCCATTACCTTTGGTCCCTTAACAAGTGGGAGGCACATATGCAAACTGCTGTAAGTCCTACACCGTTCACCTGAGTTGGATGTACATACCCTCAAATTAAAGCTGACAGTATGCAGTTAAAGCACATAGTGTTTGTTTCATTCCAACTCCATTGTGGTGGTGTATAGAGCCAAAGATGTTAGAATTGTGTCGATGTCCCAATATTTCTGGACCTGACTGTACATCTTCAGGCCTTGACTCCTGATGCCTGGTGTATGATCTCCATTAGCTGCACACTACTCAGCTTTGACGTATTTTTTAAATGCATAAACATACTTTCACTACTTTTTAATTTGTATTTTTCAGTCTCTAATACTGAAGATATAAAGTAGCTCCAAAAACTAGGCAGTTTTTGGAAGAAATTATATACAAAAATGCACCTTTCCCGGGGTATCTAAATTACTTGATTACTGTTTTCTGAGAGGATGTAGGAGGTGGGGTGGAGGCAAGCTAAATGGCGGGACTGACACACTCAGGTCAATCCTTCTATCACTCATCTTTCTAAGAGACAGGGTGTTCTTAGTCACTGGCACTTCTAGGCTAGTATCGCCAGGATCCTCAGCTCAGCTACTCTCAGCTACTTAGTCTCAACTATTGTCCCTTTGTCCATCTGAAACATGCTTCCTGCCAAAGGCTGATGAGAGGGATCCTTTTCTAGAAAAAGACTTAACAACCTTGAGTCAGACTGAAATAGCTAAATAATACCCCTCATCCTTCTTACAAATGAAGGTGTTAACTTTACAGCAACCTTTCACAAGAGGGTTTTTTTCCCAAGACACCAGGGGTTCCAATCGTTCCATGCAAGATTATGACTGACATTTTTTTTTAACTATGCATGCTACATAATACTAGCATTCACAGTGGTAGGAATTATTGCACGCTGTGACTCAGCTGCAGCCTGCTGCTTTGTTATTATCGTAACCATTGTAAAACATGGGTTGTGAGTAGGTTAGAAGTGAATTGTACTGTCAAGTTTTTGTATTTTTTGCAGTTTTTAATACAGGGGTTCCCTGAGACCTGAACATTATTTCAAGGATTTCTCCAGGGGAAAAAGTTTGAGAAACTCTGCTTTAAGGATTGAAAATATTTTTTTCTGTTCTTTCTTTTGTTACTGTGACAATATTAATGTTGTCAGCTCTTACCTTGATATTCTAATGGTGTCTGATACCATTCAATTATTCTGAACTGAATAATTGTAATTATTTATTTTAAAAATATTTTCCCAATTGCATTAGGAAGAATAACTAATTTGTCTGTCGAAATATTTAATGAACTAGTTCAGTAAAAACAAAATATAGTCATCTAAAGATTTTATGAGGGCTTAATAACTGTTGTACATAGATCATGACAATATTTACATTAATAAAACTTGGACCATGTCAGCAGTATTAGTATTAGTATTAGTATTCTTGCCCAGTATTTCTGGTTGTGAAATGCAGACATATATTACAAGTTGCTGCAAAACATAAACATTAGAGCAATCTCATTACTCATACTTTCCCTTTGTAAAAATAGACTCCATCTATCTGTTATATATTGTAAATACATCGGGGGGGTGGTATTTGCTAATACTTTTAAGAAAAAGTAACCTATTCTTTCTAATGCTCGCTTTAGGAAACATTAGGCTATGCAAAACGTTTTTAAACTTCAGCTAAAAAATATTGTTTTAAAGAATTTCTTATTATTCAGCTGGAAAGATTCTCAAAATGGTTTCCATTGGATCAATAGTTTCTAGAGAAGTATTTATGTTAATTTGTTGCAGCAAAAACAATAGATGCAATTTAAAGACTGAGAAATGTACAATTTAAAAGGCAAAACATAAAAGAGGGAAGAAATTTTCATCGATATATAAAATACTTATAATGGGGCCAAATAAAGCGGGTCCCAAAATAGAACTGAAATATAGTGCAGTCTTAGATAATTCCCTCTATTCGGGCAGTTGGATTGACTGCAATCAGATGATAGAAGGAGTCAGATGGGACAGTTTTCGGCCATTCCATTTATTCTCATCAAACAAGATAGAATGGCTCTGATTCTCTGAAACTGTTAGCATCAAACATGAAGGAATCAAGACTCCGAGGTCATGTATTGATGCCCGCTATAATGAGCTATTTAAATCTGAGAAGCAAAGAATGATGCTTGTGATGTTGCCAAAATTCATTATTCTGACTATATATGTCTAAGGATATGCATATCACTGTCAATTAGATCCACCCAAAAATACAAGATGGGAATTCAGAGCTGAGATTTTGCAACAGTTTAAAAAAGAAGTATAAAACATGAAGACCCAGAGCTGCAAGTGGCCATCAGTTTGTAGTTTCCCAGAGTAGGTGGAAGCAAAATTCATTGAATTGGGAAGAGTTTGAGAGCGGGGTTGTGAGTCAAACTGGATGCTTTAAGTCTCACAGATGGTTAGGACACCCATTTCTGCTTTAAAGCTCCTGAAATTCCTCAAAATTTTGTTTTAAATACTCTTTCCCAGCCTACCTCATAAGATTTGTTTTGAGTTAAAATGAAGTAGATCCCTATAGTTGTTATAGTGTTCATTCGTAACAATAGTGACACAAAAGTCATGAAATGGGTACTGTGATATCTAAACACAAATTGTACCTTTCCACACTTGCATCATGACGTCACATACAAGTATTAAGAGGTAGTGTATATCACTCGCCTTCTCCCCCCCCCACGCACTCCCAAATCTATGTGAAGTACCCTGGGCTCAAAACAATGTAAATATAAAATAATAATTTCACTGATTCTCTCTTGATCAGCAACTGCCAGTTTTATTTGTATGCAAATACTGCTGTCATTTCTCTGATGGCAGCAAAAGCAAAGGAGGATTTCCAAAAAAAATTGCCAGGCAGAGCAGAAGAAATTTTGGATCTGGTGAGTGTAGCAGTTCCTTGGATGGGCCTCACATATACTGTGAAAAGTCTGGCTCTTATATATAGATATATTCTTTCATTAGAAATATTGATAGATGAGGTACTTTTTGTTAAACTAATGGGGGGGGAACCCTCCTCCCATTAGAAACCTAGTTTCAGAGCAGGCAGTGCTCTTGGTATTAAATAGTTTCATATGTTCACCAAGAGAATTACAGTCTTCTTCCCCACAGAGTGATAACAAAAGTGAAAGCTCTAAATCAGTGTTTCTCAACCTTGGAAGCTTCTGGGAGTTGAAGTCCACCCATCTTCAAGCTTCCAAGGTTGAGAAACACTGCTCTAAATGAACCCACATATTTGTTGAAAAGGCAGAGAAAGACCAAAGAAAGGGCTGTATTCCACAAAAAAGTGAGAAATGAGAAATATTTTTTTAAAAGCTACTTTTCTTTAAAATCCAGTCATCACCTATGTTTTGGTTGATTCAATTCAAACATGCACAAATAATGTAAAAAAAAAAAGTCAAATCAATACCTTAAAGATAATTGTGAGTCACAAAACTGGTATGAGCCAACTGTTTAATGGCTGGTGGTGCAGCAGCAATGATATCAATGAGCCCTGGAAGTATTTGAGAGTGTGTATATGGGGTCAGAGTTGGCTGTGAAAACATAGGCTGAGATTAGATCTTCTTAGGCAGTGGCAACATTTGGCAGCAGCCAATTCAGTAAGTTTTCAAAAAGCCACTAGGCCACCCAAATCTGACGGCAGGCCCACCTGTTCTGCAGGCCCAGTTTAAGTAGACCAAATGAAAAATTCATTGTATGGCCTGAAAAAACAGTTGTTATCATCATCATTATACCTTTAATATTATCAAACAACAGCATCTGCCTATCTTGGGAAAGACTCAATAAGTGGGCAAAAATGTCAAACCCCTTCTTTATCATCTCCAGAATAAAGCTTAGAATATATCCGTGCTTTGTTTTGGGTTCTATAGCTGAACTCTTCATAGAACAACAGCAACCAACAATCCAACCTTAGAAATGACACATTTTCTGATAGTGAGAACAATTAATAGAACTAAAGCTTGGCTCCCAGAGGTTGTACCCGTGCTCCATCATGGAGATTTTTTAAAAATAGACTGGATAACCATTTAACCAAGATGGTATAAAGTCTCCTGCCTTGGGCAGGGGGCTGGACTAGAAGACCTCCGAGGTCCCTTCAAGCCCTATGATTCTCATGTTCTATAGATTTCTAGCACCTTTCGTAGATCCATGCATCATAAGCAAGTTATCTTTCCTGTGACAATTATTTTTAAGTTAGTAATATTCAAAATGTTTTCTCATCTCCAGAATAAAGCTTAGAATATATCCGTGCTTTGTTTTGGGTTCTGTAGCTGAAGTCTTCATGGAACAACAGCATCTCAAAGAAGCAAGCTTTTGTATCCAGGAGGCAGCCAGTCTCTTTCCCACATCTCATGCTGTGCTGTACATGCGGGGGAGGCTTGCAGAGATGAACGGCAGCTTGGAAGAGGCTAAGCAATTGTATGATGAAGCATTAACCGTGAATCCAAGTGGAGTGGAAATCATGAACTGTTTGGTAAGTATGTACAAGAGATCAATCTATGTTATGTCCTCCTATGGTACTTGGAATCCCAAGAATTATTTTAAAATTTAGGTCAGCCATATGATTGGAAATATTTCTAGAAATCCTTACTTGTACGTCCGTGGATCTGCTAGTCTCTTAATGCCTTTAATGTTGCAATTCTAGTGCAACATTAAAATTAATTTTTGGGACTGGAGTGCACATTTGAAATGTTGAGAACATGTTGTGGGCGCTATTTAGGTATTCTATCAAATAAACAGACACATTCGCCATGAAAATAAGAACTGAAGAATTCTTGGGCCCAGTACTCTTCAGTATCTTAATCAATGGTTTAGATGAGGGGATAGATGGGGAACTCATCAAATTTGCAGACAACACCACGCTGGCAGGAATAGCCAATACTCCAGAAGATAGGCTTAAGATGCATAAAGATATTGACAGCAATAGCAATAGCACTTATATACCGCTTCATAGTACTTTACAGCCCCCTCTAAGCAGTTTACAGAGTCAGCATATTGCCCGCAACAATCCAGGTCCTCATTTTACTGACCTTGGAAGAATGGAAAGCTGAGTCAACCTTGAGCCACTCCGAATCAAACTCCTGGAGTGAGCAGTGAGTTAACCTGCAGTACTGCATTCTATCCACTGCGCCACCACAGCTCTTGGACAGATTTGAACACTGGGCCCTATCTAATAAAATGAAATTCAATGGTGAAAAAAGTAAGGTTCTACATTTAGGCAATTAATACTAAATGCACAGGCATTGTATAGGTGGGACCTGGCTCAATAGTAGTAATTGTGAGAGGGATCTTGGAGTTCTAAGGGACAATCACTTAAATATAAGCCAGCAGTATTTATTTATTTATTTATTGGTTCGATTTATATGCCGCCCTTCTCCGGAGACTCAGGGCGGCTTACAATGCGTTAAGTATGCTATAGCTGCCAAAAAAAAAAGCACAGTCCTAGGCTGCATTAACAGAGGGATCAATTCAAGATCACATGAGGTGTTAATACCACTTTAGTTTAATGAAAAGAAAGACTAGGGATGACATGATAGCAGTGTTCCAATATCTAAAGCAATGATGGCTAACCTTTTTGCCATCGCGTGCCAGGAGGGGGGGTCACACACGCGTGTATGCCCACATCCATAATTCTGTGCACCCTGCCCCCACACATGCACGCGCGACCCCCCCTATGCTCCCCACTCTCGGCACGGTAGGCACGGTTTTTGCTCTCCCCAGCCTCCAAAGCCTTTCTAGGAGTCTGGGGAGGGCGAAAACAGCCCCTCCCCCCCGCAGAGGCTCTCCGGAGGCCAGAAATGGCCCATTTGCCAACTTCTGGTGGGACTGGAAGGCCTATTTTTCTCTCTCCCCAGCCTCCAGAGCCTTTCTAGGAATCTGGGGAGGGTGAAAACGGCCTTCCCCAAACTTCCGGAGGCTGGAAACGGCCCCTTTGCCAACTTCTGGTGGGTGAAATAGTGTAGGGCTTCTTGCCTGAGCAGGGGATTGCACTAAAAGACCTCCAAGGTCCTTTCCAACTCTGTTATTCTGTTATTCTTTGGCATGAGGTGATTGGTCCATCTAACCCAATATTTGCACTGATTTAATAGCTATTTTCTTGAGATTCAGGCAGGACTTTTTCACTCTTTCTTTGAAGATGAATGAATTAAGTATAGGACTTTCTGCCTGTACCTCAGCTGCTCTGCTGCAGATCTCATATGTGACCCTTCTTTGCTAATCTCCTTCAGAATCTAAACTACTTAGCTATTACCACTTCCTGTGGAAGCAAATGTCTTGTGATGTATGATGTCAAATTTTGCTTAACAAACAAATATGCATTTCATATATGTTGCCTTAAGCCTTCTGTTCCAAAATTAGCCAGTAGAATTATTTCAGCTCCATTTATTCTGCACCAAGGATTGTTTTATTGTTTGTGGAGGGGGGGGGATTTTTATGTTTGTTGTTTCCGCTCACGTTTTTTCTTGTTAAATGAATTGTTTTTCCCACATTTGTTTCTTTGCAGCAGTTATTTGTTTGTGTATTGATTGTCTGTATGATATGTGTGATTTTTTTTCCTTTTATTGAAAGACAGAGATAGTAACAATTATCTTTATAGGACCGTTGAATCTCTCCTATTGGATTTGAAGTGCTTGGTGCCACTTAAAAAAACAGTCCAGTGTACTCCCAAGCCAAATTCCTCTTGTAAGCAGGATTCTTTGTTACTGGTGTATCAGCATTAATTAATGTAGAATTCCTCCGTTTCCCCTTAGGCTGTTAAAAAATATGATTTTAAAACACTAGGGCTGATTTTAAGCAAAGGTCATAAATCTAGTGGCCAGCAAAGCAGTCAATACATTGATCCTGACAAGCAAAAATAAAGTTATAAGCACACTTGGAATTTTCTCTAAAGGCATTTATAACTTTGTTTCAGGGGATGGGTGTTCAAGATGAAAGTTATTACATTGTTAAAATCTAATGTTATTCCTTGATAAATTGGTAGCCAAATATTGGAGCATTATTTCCTAAAATGCAATTCCTCTATTGTTTGGCATCTGTATTTTCCCCAGCTAAAGAGTATTGTTTTTGCAGCTGTAGGACTTGGTCCATCATATGGCAGTATCTTCCATTGTATAACAACCCATTTACACAGCAAATTAACCATGACCACAATATATATTTGATAACTTATATCTAGATTTGGAAAGAAGTACCCGTGTTTCTCCGAAAATAAGACCGGGTCTTATTTTCATCTGGGCCCCAAATAAGCACTGGGGCTTATTTTTGTGGGATGTCTTATTTTTTTTCCATGTACAGGAGGCCCGTTTTTTTTGCTTGCTCACGGCAGGGCAGGAGGCAGGGCAGTACAGCAGTGCCACTGCCGTGAGGTGGGGTACTAGAGTTTCCACACATGCCCTGCACTGGCTTACCTCAGGGCCCTGCAGCCAGACTACCCATGCCCTGACACCTGCCTCGCCTCACGGCAGCGGCTCCAGCAGCCCCATCCAGCAGGACCATGCATGGCCACCAGCCCACTTCTTCTGCTTGCTTGCAGCCACAACGGAGCAGGAAGCCAAGCAACATGCCAGTGCCACAGCCATGAGGCGAGGCGGGGGTGGGTGGAGCTGCCCCATGCACCCCGCACCAGCTTACCTCAGGATCATACAGCCATATCATCCACTCCCAGACACCTGCCCTGCCCTGTGGCCACGGTACCAGCACACCACTCAACCTCCTGCTCCATTGCGGCTGCAAGCAAGAGGAAGTGGACTGGTGCTCACATAGGTTCCTGCACATGGGTGCTAGTGCTGCCGCCACGAGGCAGCTATTGGGGTGTGGATGGCCTGGCTGTGGAGGCCCTGAGGTAACCCAGTGCGGGGTGCATGGGGCAGCTCCACCACCACCCCACCTCTCTTTGTGGCTGTGGCATCATGAGCAACCAGACAGAATGGCCAGGCAGCCAGCTGCGCAAGCTCTTAGGGCTTATTTGGGGGTAGGGCTTATATTAGGCACACATGTAAAAACATGCTAGGTCTTATTTTGGTATAGGTCTTATTTTCAGGAAAACGGGACAGAGGGGAAACTGAGGACAGTACCGTTTCTCTTTTGATTCTTTATCAACATTCCCTAGTTTAATGAACTACAGATATGAATGAACAGATATCCATCATCTCCCTACAGCAAGGTCATCTGGTGTGCATCAGGTTAGAAAAGGCTGTTGTATACAGACAACTGCTAAAACTAATCTAGATATGAAGGATAACATCTGATATATTGTAAAACACCTTCCGTTTTCATGTCTTCCCTTTGTAAATATATTTTCACCTTATTGTTTTAAAGCATTCTGGTGAATTGTGGTTTCCTATAAAGATCAATGGAAAGGAAAGTTAACATGTGGAAGAGAAATTCTAAGAATGTAACTGTGAAATTGTATTCTAAGGCATCTGGAAATTAAAAAGGACTCCAGACCCTTTATGGTAATGCTATTGACTGCCAAATCTTAACCAGATGTAAATTTTAAAATGCCATTAGCACTTACGAATAATCAACATGGTTTTAGTTCCCTGCACACTTTCAAGATGGCATTCCTATAGTAAACTAGCAAAGAAAAGTTGACTAGCTAATATAGGCACATTTGGATTGCAATGTTTGAAGGAACAACTTTGTTGCAAAGCCTTGGTTAGCATCACGCATAAGGAACCATGAGTTGATCAAAGTTACTTCTCAATTGTTGCAATGCCTATTTACAAGAGTCTTGCCAAAATAACTGCATTCTCTTGGGAATGATCAGACAGGGCTTCAGGGACTTTAGGGGAAGTAAGGCCCTGCTCTGCTTTTTGTTGTGCAAGGACTCTAAGCTCAGCCCCCCTCTTCACATCTCACCCCGCTTTAGCTGGAGATTCCATCACAGTAAATCTGTTTCCTTTGCAATTTCTTTCGTTAATTTATGATAAAATATAAATCATGTTCAATAGACACAACTTTCCAAAGTCATTGAAAAATATTGCTGATATCAAGCACTTATCAAAGGAATCTGCCAATTGTATGCTGCCTCAATTAGTGGTGGGATCAGGAATGTTTTACTGAAATTGTTGTCCAATCTCTAAGCAATAGTAGAATGATTACTGTACTTGGGTCATAAAATTATTCACAAATTCAACAATCAGTAGCAACTTCACTACAATAATGGCACTTACTTAATATCAACTGACCCATTTAAGGAGCACATAAGTAGATATTAAAATGAAATTTCCTGAGTTGCCATCTTGCCTGGGTATACTGTATGTATTCTGATAAAGTGCTAGCACTTCAACTTATCAACAAACCTCTGCACTCTTGGCAGTGATCAACAAAATTCCTATTCAACCTATTTATGAGGCTTTAGGGTGAGAAAGAATAAATGCAGTAACTGTTTTTAATGCTTTTAGAGGCTGTGGTACCACCTGTGGTTTTGTTGATAAAATCAAGCTTTCATGTTGTAATATTTTCAAGCAATTA